GGCACCTTTAAAGTAAGAAAATTACCAATAAATAGGGGTTTAAAACTGCGATAGTTACTGTAGTGACTTGATCTCTGGCCTCTTGTATCACCTCAAAACACCAAAACGCACCACCATGTCCTTGAGATCTTCCCTGTGCGTTGCATATCTGATACCAGTTGTTTTTGTTGTTCCCTGGGACAACTGAAATCTATCCACAACCATTTCTGTACAACTGTGGGTTTGAGTTGCTGGTCTAAACACCAGCACATACTATAAAACAACACAACACTATAAAACCAAATACAGGCAGACAAAAAACAGAGCGCTTGAATAACGTTAGAGGCCTTGCTTATAGATCACAAAATCCCTGTTCTCTTATCTACTGACAGTAATTGAATGCACATTTGGAGAGTAGTTGCCTGAGGTGGAGATATGAATATTTCTCTGGACGGTCTCTAGTGAACTTTTCAACAAAGGAGCGAGTCTTTCACAGACAAGACCCCACTGTTGCTACGTTGCCTGGTAGATAGATCCGTGAAAAGGTCGGCTTATGTAAGCTGTGTTTTACATTATAAAGTCATAATTTATATATCTCCACACCTACCCAGATCCGGCCAGAGTGTGTGTGTGTGTGTGTGTGTTTTATGTGTGTGTTGAAGGGAGATCATGTTCATGTGGGTGACATGGGAGGGGTGTGTTGATGGAAAAGTGGGCTAACTGGTCTGACATCCATCTGACAGTCTGTTGTTTTTCTGTTTATTGTTTCTTTACCTTCTTCTCCTTCTACAGCGTGTTATATCACACTTTCTTGAAATTTTCTTGAAAACTTTCGAATCATGTGCTGCCGAGACAATGTAGACAGAAACATGGCGGGAAGTCCCGTCCATACAATGCATGTCTGGTATGCTACCAAGGTGGACGTGTATGAACTCTCTCATGTCGCTATTATTTCCCCTAATGTTGTCAAACTTGAAGTCTAAAAGCTCAAGTCCGAGTGAAGCCACGAGTCGTTGCTGTTAAGGTCCGAGTCGAGTCTAAAGTCATCAAATGTGTGACTTAAACTGATTGATCCCTTTTATTAAATGTGTGGCCCTCACCCTGTAACTGCACTATAACTGTATTTCTGATCTTTAATTTCAATGTAATCAATTCATTCTCCTTTTTTATTGTTGCTGCTCTTATGTAAAGCACTCTGAACTGCCTCAGTGTTTGAAAGGCGCTATGCAAATACAGTGAAGTTGCCTTGCCCTACTTCGTTATTCCCGCAGCTTTCAAACGTTCCCTCAAGAAGACCAGGGGGATGTGGCCGAAAGCTCTGGGAACAGCTGAGCAAGTGAACCTTTTGTTTAAGATATTTAAACTTCCTTAAGATCCTAGAATGAATCTCAACCCTCAAGATTTTATTTCCCAAAGCTATGAGCAACTAAGAGACGGATCAATTAATCACAAATTACAAATAATATAGTTTTAATTTAATGTCAACATGCCGCCTTGTTCTTGGTGATTACATGTTTTTGTCCATTTTCATCAAGCCACAACTGGCTTTTATCTAATTTACTATGTGCTTAAGAACATTAAGTGAAACTAATTATAGCAATTATTGACAGGATTTCCTTGTATTCGCCAATGGCTGGCGTCTCCCTCCGCATTTCTCTACGGGAAGAGAACTGCAGCATTAGATAAGGTGGTCAATTTAGTCCTCTTATCAGCTCCAAGGCTTTTAAAATCCAGCTGAAATGTCAATACGCGATTTTTAAAGTCTGTGTAGAGACAAAAAGAAAAGAAAGGAAAGAGAACCTGCCGCTTTCTTACCCGCTGCTTTTAATAACCTGCATATACAGTAGATGAGATAAAACCTTCCACACCCGATAACGCTTCTCATAAAGGAGCTCCAGCTTTTACTTTCATCTGTTCATTGTGTAACTGTTTCACTTACTTTTGATTTGAGCGGCTGACATACATCAATCTGAATGAGCCCGGCGTGATCAGGCAAGTGTATGCGAGCTGATGGTTGTCGTGGCAACCAATTCATACATGTTAAGGAACAGTCAGCTGGTTTTATTTTCTTGTAAGCACATACTGTTTCTTTTTTATGTAATCCAGCCGATGGATAGTTTTTAATCAAGTGGGTGTGTCGATGTGTGTTTTCTGTGTGTAATACTATGAAACGCTGCGTCCAAACATCTTTTTCCACATGGCCTTGGGCAGCAGCAGTCTGATGAAAACAAGTCCTGTCTCCTCTCTATTACCCAGCAGTCCACACTTATCAATAGCGCTCCCCTCCTCGCTCTCGCACTGCAAACAGACCTGCTGCTGTTTTTCCTCCCGTGGATCCTCCTGACCCAGGAGCTCTGAATTGTACTTTAGCAAGTAAACAAGCCTTTGAAGAGCCTAAGAAGAGCGAGAGATGTAGAGCCGGCGATGCAGTGGTGAATAATACGGAGAGTAAACTACCTCTTCAAGTTGATCTTTAACCTTCAAACAACCGTGGTGAACACAAAAATATGGTTAAGGATGATATTGTTACATATCCAGGTTTGATTCTCCTAATAATTACACTTCATATGATTTTACATCAGAAAAGGTGGACATATGATATGAATAATCTGGTTTAGTAACTAACGATTATCTTCATTTTAATCCATTATGAGCCCAAAACTCAAGGCGATGTCTTTAGATTTCTTGTTTTGTCCGACCTGCACTCCCAAACTCAAAGATATTCATATTTAAAATGAAGTAAAATACAGAAAAGCAGCAAATCTTTATTTTATGCTAGATCCAGAGAACAGTGGCCTTTTCTGCTCGATTAAACAATTGTAAAGATAAATCTATTAACTAAAATAGTTGCAGATTTATCCTAATTTAAGGCTCCAGTTAATCCATTTATTATTATTTTGATCTTTTAGGAGGATCTATTGGCAGAAATGGAATATATTCGTAGGTTCGTTTTCATTAGTGTATAATCACCTGAAAATAAGTGTTTTTGTTCCCTTTACAATGAGCCTTTTTTACGGGGTCCGCCATGTTTCTACAGTAGCCCAGAACAGACAAACCAAACACTGGCCTTTTGTGTTTTTTGTGAGTTTCACAACTACTGTAGGTTCTCCTACACGCTTGAAACGCGAGCGGTATTCAAATGGTTGCTAGAATCTCCTTTAAGTCTGAGTAACAGTCCAATATGTCTGTAATTGTAGAAAATAAAGGTGTGAAAACCCCCAAAGAGTAAATCTATAATGATATTAAAATGGAGACTAGAAAGAAATCTTTTATATTTGTGAAACTGGGACCAGCGATTCTTTTTAAACAAGAGCTATTAATCTACAGCTGTCAGTGTTTTTATTTAATTCCTTCTTGTATTAATTTAAACTCTGTCGGTTAAGATATGATTTTTAATGTATCTCTACTATACAACAACACATCGTTAACTTTAAAACAAATAACACTATCTGTACAATCTATTTTCCAGACCATAAAGTCAACAACGGCACCTAGCTCCGTTCTCATTTATATCCTGTTTGAGGTCGAGTCATCCGACAGGCGCAGCCCTGGTGCAAAACAAACTAGACCTTGGGAAAATATGATTTGCATACACTTTTAATGGAGTGTTTCGTCCAATAAGCTGCCACCAAAACGTAGGAAAATAGGCTCAAGCAAACCACAATTTAGCATCAGCTGTCATAAAGTTGTAAATCTCGCCTGCCCGGAGCTAAACAGCAGTTCAGAAACCCATTGTGGAGTTTTAAGAGACACATTGATGTATGACGGCTGCTCTTACGCGGCTATTTACATCGTGTTTAGGGAGTGTGGTTGTGTGTGATAAATGACAGACGTGACGGGTGTCTGGGCTCAGATATAAAGCGACCCAGAGTTCAGTGAGACTGTGTGTAAGATGTGCAAACAAAGGGCCCAAGGCCGCGTACGTGAGTCCTGGTTTACTGATTCAAGACCTCCTCCACCTCCACCTCCACCCCAACAGAGAGCTGATGTCCCCAATAATAGCTCTCCATTCACTCATTAACTTCACCTGCACATGTGCAGTGTGTTCAGGGTGTGACGGACATTTTCAGCCTCGGTTTTCGTACACACACCGTACATAAAGAGTATTATATAACATTTGACTGGAGCTGAAGCAATTAATCAATTAGTAGAATGATTTGGCAACTCTTCTGATCAGTGACTAATCATTTTTAAGCAAAAAAATTACCAGTTTCCAGCTTCTTAAAGGTGAATATTTGTTAGTTTCTGTTTAATTGTTACTGTAAACGGAATATTGCTGCGAGTCTTAGTCGGGAAATTATGATTATTATGTATTTTTCACAATTTTCTGACACTTTACAGACAGAAGGTTGAGTTAACTGATGGATACAATAAGATTTTTTAATAAAAACATCAATCAATGATGAAATAAAGACTCAATAACAAGAATATTTGTATTTTACTGGTGGATTCCAGTGTTTTTAGACTTTTTTTTGTATTTTTTAAGTCAACAAACATTTAAAAAGAAATCTGTATTTCTCTACCAGCTTTAAGCAAAATGTTTTTGAAAGAACATTTAGACAGAAAATGTACATAAAGTATTGGAACAGTTATTAAAAGCTTTAAGATGCCTTCTTTTTGTTTAACTTATAAAAGGTGAGGGATGTGTATTACAGCCATGGTTACCTCCAGCTCATAATACATATTAAGAAGTGTTAATAACCTGTATCATTACACAGTTGTTTATCAAACTTGTGTATTTTTATGTAACCACCACTCTAACACACATAGATGTCCTATTATTTAATGTGATATGAGGTAGTCACAGTGCTTTGTGTCTCCGCAGTCTCCATATGGCTGACATCAGCGCTCACCTGTTGCTGTTAACAACCGTCGAAAAAACAATAAAAACTGTGCAAGCAAAAGGTTTTAAAGAGGTTTCACACTCTTTAAAGTTCATTCGCAGCAGTGTTTGTTTGAATCTAAAACGAGCCACAAAGAGCAGCAAAGCAACCGAAAGTATAAAAGTGGTTTGAACCTACCTGTTGCGCTGAGCGAAGGTGTGGCACTTTGCCCTGTAGGTATCAAAAACACACCGAGAACTTCATTTAACTTCACTGCCGGTGCTTTTTTACTGAGCAGAAATCAGACGGAAAGGTGAAAAAGTAGAACCAAAGTGTCCATTGAACATCTTCTGGATGTTGGGTTGTTGTTGTGGTGACTCGCTCAGATGAGTTTCCCCCCCTCGGTGACTCCACAGTCCCATGTCTCCTGTTTGAACAGCGGTCTGCTGATGGTTGGTTAGTCTAGGACACTGGTTGGACCTCAGAGTCAAGTTACACACACTCACACACAGCTGCTTCCTGTCAACACTTTCAAAACAAAACGTATGAACCCACATACAAAAACTTCTATCGGTTAGAGTTTATTAAAATGTGCTAACTGAGTTGTTATCATGAAGTTACATTTATAATAATAATAATAATAATAATAATCATGTGGTTGAATTATGACCACAGATTGTAAAAAATATATCAAGTTAAGTGTCTTTGTTTGTTTGATACTGTATTATATTTATAGAGTGGCTGCCAACCCTTGTTTTGTTTGTGATCTCTTTATAATGAAGCGATCCTTTGTCTGAGTTTATGGTTGTATTAGTGTGGATGTGATCTGTGAGGTGTTTTTCTTTCATTTGAAGGGTATTTCTTTTAAGGCCGACAGCTTTAAGATGCAATGTCATCAAGTATTTCAGACCAAAAATGCCAAAAACAAACAGAATTTGGTTTTTTAAAAGTGTTTTCTGTCAACCATTTATCATTATAATCATCTTGGGACCCTCTGTGGTCTCCGGTATGAGAGCCACTGTGCTAATATGAATTTACATAATTAAGATTTATGTTTCAAAAAGTGTGTAAAATCTGGCGCTTATTAAGTTAAGTAAGTTTTATCGGGATATTCATATTGTTATTGCTACAACAATATGTTTGGTTTTTGTTCGGTTTATTAGTATCATGTTATATTGTATGTGTACATATTTAAGTTAATGTATAATTATTATTATGTTTATTCTATATATTGAAATCCCATCGTAAAGTCAGCCTCTGTCAATAAAACCAATCTTTACAAAAGAGGTTAAAGAAATTAAAATACAACAGATAAAAGAAAATGAACAATGTTATTAATATAACTAAACAAGCACCAGATTTTACACAACTTTTATAACATAAAT